AATAAAAAAATAATTAAATTTATAAAAATTAAATTAAAAATATATAAATATTGTTTAGTTAAAATTTAATAAAAATTAAGTTTTATTATAAAAACAAAAAAAAATTAAAAATTTCTTTTTTCTTCATATTATAAATAATTTCTTTCAATTTAAAATTTTTTAAAATCTTTTTATTTTACAATTTTTTTCAATTTTAGCTAAATAATATTTATTTTTACTTTTAATTATTTCAATTTAATTTTAAAAGTGTATAATAACTTTTTTTTGTTTCTTTTTATTTTTGCATGTAATTTTTTTGTTGTTTAATTTGTTAAATCATTAAATTTTTTTCTTTATCAGTTGAATTAGATGAAGTGAAGTAATGTATGAAAATGAAGAAATACTACAGTTGATGTGATAATGCACGGAGTTTCTTTTACAAATATGAATATATCAAATTCCTCACTGACCCCATCGGCCTTTATCTCTCTTCGTCACTAATTTTAACAAATAATTATATATAAAATAAAATCAAATATCATACAATATAATGTAAAATACCAAAAAAATTACTCAAAGTTAATAGATATCTCAAATGATTCATAGCCATACGGCCCATGCTAAAAAATTCTAATAACATAAATTGCAACTTCTATTTTATGAATATAACATAACATAGATTATAATCAAATAGCACATAGATTACAACTCTCAAAAGCTAGATAAAATGCAATTTTTTTTTTTTTAGTTTTTTCATTTTCAAGTGTTAATTTCCGATTTTAACCAAAATAATATTCATTGAATATTTTGAATTTTGATTTGATTGGGTCTTTCTCTCGTATTGACATTTTAAAAAAATAAAAATTATTAGTAGCTTTAAATCACCATGTCCGACCTTTTTTTTTACCTCACTATCTATGTAGCTTAGAAGTGCTTGTAAAAACGAGTGATGTTGGGTTCCACAATTTCCTCAAATTCATTTAGGATCATATGAAACTTTAGGAATAAAAATTAAGGATCCAAACCATGCGCAATAGGGCAAAGAATTAAGGATCCAAACCACGCGCAACAGGGAAAAACCTATGATTATCCTTGCATTACCATGAATTGACTTCTCCAAATAGTTTTCGTTGAAGAATTTAATTGTACATTTCATTCAAGATGAGTAGAAAATTATGCCACAGCATTGTTACTATTGGTAAGGTGGTAAACCTTTGGAAGTTCGTGAGAAATAATGTTATCGTATAGATGTATCGTGAAAACATTTATAAATTAACATTAACATTCATAGTGGTGCTCGTGCTAAAACCAAATTATTGTTCTGACTTTCGAGTTTCAACATCATGCACTCCGATGATTATTATCCCATGGATAAAGAGTTGCACCAGTATTGACAATTTTTGGATAAGATAAATTCTACACATTCCACACTAATAATAACATAATAAATACAATAATCATGCAACACACGAGACAAAGACTAATATAGTAAGTAAGATAAATACTTTTGATTATACAGTTTGCATATTTCTAATGCATTTTCAAGGCAATTAGCGTGCACCAATGTACTGAAATTGTTAGCAAGTAAACTTGTAGTTACCACAGTAAGCTATAGGTAAGAAGAGATGGACTGCACCGAAAGCTACAGCCTGGACAATAGTTTATTTACCAGTACAAGTTGTCTTTCTCCTCCCTCCATTTGCACTTTACTTTCTTGATTCCTTCGCAATCAATCGCTAGGCAATCTCAGATATCTCATTGGCCTACTAATCAAGAAATCACATTGAAAGTCATCCGCCTCGGCAGAGAATAATCTATTTGGGGTGTATATTCAAGTGTGGAGAAGAGAAGATTCATGGAGAGAGTTGACATTTTACTAGCTATTCTATGTTGATCAAGAAATTATCAGAAAGGTAATGAGTCAGACAGAAAATTTGAAATTTTTGATCCATAATTAAGTGTTTTTAGAAGGTTTTGGATAGATTAATTCGTTGGTAACTCGAGGTATTTATTTCTGATTTTCCGCAAACAGTTAAAAAAAATGTCTGAGACAATAGCTGACCATATCACCGTTGAAATTCAAGGGATGCTAGATGGCTTGTCCTCGACGTCTTCAAAGCCCTCAATGTTTAGAGTTGGTGATCGTTTACGCCGCATGAAGCCAGAGGCTTACGATCCAGAAATAATAGCCATTGGCCCATTTCACCGCGAGAAACCTAACTTGCAGAACATGGAGCAACACAAACTCAGGTATCTAAGGCTGTTTCTTCAAAGAAGAAACGAAAGTGTAAAAAGATGTGTTACCATAATAATACAACATAAAGACATGGCCCGGGAATGTTGTGCTGAAGACATCCACTTTGATGATGCTGAGTTCGTGAAAATGTTGATTCTGGATGGTTGTTTTATCGTTGAATTTCTCCTCAGATTTCAACAAGAACCTGCGGATCGAGATGACCCCATTTTCCAGAATGGACATATGCGAAGTCAATTGTTTCATGATCTAATGCTATTTGAGAATCAGATTCCATTTTTCATCATTGATATTTTGCTCAACATGAACAAGACCGATGATGAAGACATCGAATCTCTAATAATAAGGCCTTTACTAGAAAATAGCATTTTCGCAGGGCTAGTGAAAGAACCTCCTAAAGTCCCTCGTAGTGCTCACCATCTTCTTGGTATTGTACATCACAACCTGTGTTCTTCATTTGCAAATGTGGCATCTGGAGATGGAGATCCACATAACATTGCGAAAACAAATCCAGCTGTAGGGCTCGAGAAGGCAGGGATTTCCTTCCAAAGGTCAGAATATCGTAATTCTTTTCGTATTGAATTCGAAAATAAAGTTATGAAGATTCCAGAATGGAAAATTTCTGATTCAACAGAAACATTGTTCCGAAATCTGATGGCATATGAGCACTACCTCACAGGCAGTCCTCAAAAATATGTGACGGACTATGCATTCTTCATGCATTGTCTCGTCAAATCCCCTGAAGATGCAAACGTGTTGCAACGTTCACACATCATTACGAACTTTTCGGGGAGCGATGAAATGGTTTGTCGTCTAATCTACGAGCTAGGCAAGGATATCATAATTTCTGAACGGTTTCCTTATTCTAATATTTTCTTCACTGTGGATCGTCATTGTGCCAGAATAAGGAATACATGGATGGCAGCATTAAAGCGAGAATATTTCAACAATCCATGGACAGCCATTTCGGTCTTTGCTGCCTTTATCCTGCTTGGGCTCACCCTTACATAGACTATATTTGCTATTCTCTCATACCGTAAGTTACTCCTTGAGTATTGCATATTTTAGCCTCCGTTTGGCAAATTTCTATTGTTTTGTAAATTGGAATAATAATAGGAATAGTAGTGGGGTTTCACAAAATATGTAGATATTAACGATTAGTAGTTATGAATGTGTTGTTAAAATTAATGTTTGACTTTGACTTTAAATTTATAAACTAATTTATAAATTGTATCGAAATAGAGGCTTAGTTTAGAAGGATTCATCAAGTAGGCTATTAGGAATTGACCTTGGAAAGGAAGTTTCTACCTTTCTTTGAAATGCATTAGTGATACATTTGTTAAGAGATAGTCATGTGAACTGCTAAGAGAAATTTATATTTGATTATCCAATTGTTTACCGACATACATGTTATTGCAGGCAATGATCACAAGAAGGAGAACTGATTCCAAGTGTTTGAAGCTGGTAGCAATATATGGTAACTCGAATCACTAATAACTTCAAGGACGATACAGAGCTGAGAACAATAATATATATTGATGGCCTGCACAATGAATGAATGTAACAAAACCAAGATTCAGTCCATTTCATCATTCTAAAAGGAATTGTTCTTCGTGTTTCTTTTGTGAAAGTGTTTTTTTTTAATGTGTTAAATTACGCCCTTGTTTGAGTCCCATTCTTGTCAAAGAATTCATTTTTGAATAGTGTATTGATAAGAAATATGTTGTTAAAAAGTAAAGAAGTTTTTTTGGATTTATGTGTAATATTATTTTAATGAAGTATGTGGGGTTAAAATAAGGTCAAATTACAGTTGAATAATGTAATGCTTTTTTATTGATTAATAAATGTAATGTTTTAATTAATTAAATGTAATTTCTATCTAGTTATTAGTGGTAATATAATTTATAATTAATAATTTTTAAAGTAAATTAATTATTGATAATTAAAAAAATAAGAAAATACAAGAAATACGCCACCTTTGGTTTAATGAATTGAAGATGAGTTTATAAAATAGTTGAAAGTTGCACTAATTTGATGCCATGGATCGGAAATGCCATTTTTCCCAAGACATTTACAAAAAAGTCACTTTTTTTTTTGTTGCAAGAATGTCAATTTAAGACGTATTTGCCCCTAAAGATAATTTCAAATTCCCTACATGTCCTAGTTAAATGAGATTTGATCCAATGGAAGAAATTGTACAAAAATCTTGTTAATGTCAGGAATGAAAAGTTTGAAAAAAAAAAAAAAAAAGAGAGAGAGAGATAAATCTTATTTCTCTCATTCAAACAACCTCAATTCAAACAACCGTAACTCCCTCTCTCATTTCTCTCATTATAGGTTTCGATCCAAGAGAGAAAAATTTTGTTTTTTTTACTCAATTTTTGTAATATTTTCAGTTGTAAAGGGTTTATGAGATGCGAAAAATGGAGCTTTTTGCTGGGTTTAAAATAAGAGCTAGACTTTGGATTAGAAAGAGGTAAAAATCCTTTTAATATTCTGTAATTTTTTTTGGACGTTTTGAATAATTTCTAACTATGTTATGGTTGGAAATGTTTTTCCCCTACTTTCTGCAATTTCATACCATAAATTTTAATTTTCTCTTTTGTATATATCTTCTATTAGTGATGCATATATGTACACATTACACGTGCTAACACTAATGTTGAGGGAAAAGATTATCTAGGGTTCCAGTTTAATATTTATCCTCTTTCTTTGCTTTCAAAGTTCATATTTCAAGCATTTTGAATGTTTCAATGTTGGGTGAAAATCTGGATTGACACTTGACATAACTTTCGTTTCAATGTTTTTGGTACTTGTGCGATGTGGAAATAACATTGCTATCACTTGGAATCTATTTGTTGTGGGTGGTACTCATATTTGTGTTGAACTCTTGATAGACAGTTGACAGCATACATGTGGCTTTAATGTTTCGTTATGCTCGAATATGGAGTGAAATAATTTTCAATAATACCTATTTGCATAGAGGTGAAAAGTAAATTTTCGGATAGTTCATCTGTCGACAATTCACTAATGTAGAGAAATGCCTTCATGCTTAACTGTCGTTCCCGACAGTTAGGCCTCAGTAATTCTTGACAGATGAACTATCGAGAATGATAGTTCGGTCCTTCCCTTCGTTCAATTCCACAAGTCAAACTTTGGTTCATCCTAACATTGCACGAGAGTTTTGCATGAATATATATGAAATGCTATGATCTCATGATTTTTCGATTGATTTGTCCGTATGTGGTTAGATTTTTTCCATCTAAACATCTCACGTGTGACTGATTTGTCCATATGTTGTTATATTTTTATGCTTCACGTTTTTATTTGCGTAACGATGCCACCACCGTCACAATTCATTTTTCATAATTTTTGGATCACATGAAATTTAAATATATTTTTGTGGAAGTTGCTTGTTTGAAAAATATGGATGAATTCAGATTACGATAGATTGCATGAATCAATTGACTTATATTATGTACTGTTATCGGATTGTTTTTACACACAAGGTGAACATTATTGCATTTCTTCACCTTCCTTTCTACGTGCTTTATCTCGGAATACTAATTTTACCAATGTATGATGACATATGAGCAGATTCATATTCATGACCCGAACGATCGTCAAAGTGTTGGTGCACACATTCTCGTTGTAATTGGGGATGGAATCAATCGAATTCATTGTCAAAAAAAGAGCAACCTTTACAATAGTCCACTACTGATGACTGTGGCAATTGCACGGAAGAACATTTTGTTTTCTATTTATGTATATAATTTTACGTTCATTAGTTCTATTTATGTGATATTGACAAAGGAAACTATTTGTGTTTCGTACAGAAAATGTTTATAATAAGGAATAGTAGATAGTAAATAGTAGTAGATTATTTTTAAATAAGGTCATGGAACTACTCCACAGTACAAAACAATGGTCACATCATGTTCGGTACTTGAGCAAGGTCGTGTACATAAAAATAGTTTTTGGTGAGTTGTATAACTTTCTTGCTTTCGAAACTCGTTCGATTTATCAATTAAAACTGGTATCCAATTGAAAATAAGCATAATTGAAATGAATATTATGATTTGTTTCAATCGAAAACGTTCGTGAATCACGATAATATCACTAGACATCATTTTCTTGCAAAACATAACAAGTACTTCTTTGTTTGCATTAAAATGTTGTGCGTACTGCGCTTCAATCAAGATGAAATGGTACACATAATTTAATTTACACAATTTTCATAAATGATAGACCAAGTATAGGTGATACAAGCACACTTAAACTTTAAAAGCATCACACTAATTTTCTTTCAAATTCAATTTGAGATGTAATGAAAATAAGTCTTCATCGTCGCATATTTTGGTCGGAGGTATATTCAAGTTAAAGACCTTGAACTTCAATTCAATTTAAGTACGGGGATCAAGAACATCAAGTTTTTCCTTCAACATTAACAAAAGTTCAGCTATGGTATTAATGGATGTGGTTTTGTCCCTTCTCCACTCTCATTCGTCATCTGCATGAACAAACTTTTTCCCATACGATACAATGAATCTCAAATGATTACTCATATCTGAAATGTTGGGATTGCAATTATGCAGAATCAATATGTCAACATTTCATAGCATGAAAGTGGCACTGCACAATACGTAAATCTGTACAATAGCAAAAGGTCAAATCAAGGCTTTCCATCGTTTTTAAGTGTTCAATTTGATAGTAAAACTGCATATCCCGATAGTTTATAAATGTTGGGTTCGACATTTCAAATGTCTAACCCAACGGTCTGTAAATGTCAAATTCGACAGTTGAACCATCAAAAATGTCGAGAAACAGACGACAATGGGCGGAACAGATTCTTTAGCACAGCACATTAATTAAGCATGGTCATTAATATTGAGCTAAATGAAAAATGTCATATTGGCCTTGTCATTGAAGAGACATTTAATGAAAATATTATTTGGTTTGAATTGAAGAATGTACTCAAAACCTTAATGGTAATTATCACATTTGTGAAGGATTCAAAAATAAAGAAATCAATTAATAATAGTTCCAAAAATTTCAAATAAATATGTCCCGATTGTATTTAATATTTACAAAACAGTAAGCTGTAGAAGTAAAATATAAATAATTTCTAATAGCTAACCTCTCAAAATGGATTATGAATGTAAGAGAAAAATCTTTTTGATCAATGAAAATGAAGAAGATGAGAAAAATTAGGGTTTGTAAGGGAAGAAGAAGATATAGTTGTTTATGTCTAATTTTTTTAATTTCTTTTACCTTTTTTTATTAACACAAATTCATATTAATCAACATAATACACATTTTTATTTTACGCTAAATTAAATGAGATTTTATAACTGTGTGATGCCAATAACATTTTCACGGTTGAATAGTGTTGGTTTAAATTTATCCTTTCCGACGTGTCGAATATTTGCCTGCCATCTGAGAAGCAAAGTTTTTTAGCAGAAGCGTTTTCATCAGTGGGCACAATATCTTGTTGAAAGGGTTTGGTTTTAGATTGAATAAAATTGGATTATTGCATTCAGCCTTTTGCCAGTGGGCTTCACATACAACAAAAGGCCTTCAATCATTTTTAAAACCTTTGTGGTTCTTCAATTCTGTCATTCATCCGATCATACATTAACGCAGAACTTTCTATTGGCTAGTTTGTAATGTAACATCACCTTTCTTGATAATTTTATTTAGTTAGAACGAAGCATTCTATAAATAAAAGAATAACTAAAGCTACTGTAATGTATATTAATTTGTTTTGTATCAAAACAAACAACAGAGACAACAACTACCATATTTGTTAATTACATTACAGAGCATTCGAGAATCAGGAACATAATTTATTTCCAAAAAAATCAGGAGCGAAAGAATACATTAGACGTCATGTTCTACAATACAGCGAACCAAAGACGCTAAGAAATTTACATATACCTGCTAGACACGGAAATATCGACAGGGAATCAATTAAAGATAAATATGCAAAATAGAAATTACCCAAAAAAATTTTTATCACTCTTTGGAGAAAGAATTGCCA